CAGGGTCTTAGCATGAAATTACAAGACTATTATGTCAATTTTACTCCTTTTTGACATATATACCTTAAAAGCATGATGCACCACATTAGACAGGAAACCAGCTTCACTGATAGAGGACATCTTATTTCTTCATTCTCCCTCACGCTAGCCTTACAAAACACTGGAGAGGGTGAAAAATAGATAATTTTCCCTCATATAATCTTCTAGATTTACTGGTTCATGGTGTCAGATGTAAGTTATTTGTCATCTTACAGTTTTTGATGGACTCTGGAAGGATATTTTTCGAATTCCCAGTCACTGTTGGCTTGTTTTCACTAATGTATTTCTGAGATGTTGGAATATTTTCCAATTCATCAATCAGGGTCAACTCTGACAGCAGTGATGTGGGCTTCAGGAATTCTGGTAAGCAAAACGATATTAGATCCCAAAAGCCACACAATTACCCCAAATATCGTCTCAGGAATAGTGTAAGGCTACTCACCATTTTCTTTTAAAAAAAGGAAAGCATCCTTATATCCATTTTGACACATCTCAGCCAAGACCTTATGAAACGCCACAATAAGGTTATGTGGGCTTAAGTATGTTTTTGAAAATCAAGCATTCAAAAATTTACCTCTGGTTCTGGAGGAAAAAATGCAATGACCACTCGGTGTGCGTTAATGAAGTTGATGTGAATGCTGACATTTTTGTAGTATATGTCATGAAAGTAAAAAGGGTTGCCATAAGGACTGATGTCGCTCTCTCCGGAAAAAGGAGAGACTGTGATTGTGCTTCTTAGACTAGAGAAAGGCATGTTATCACTCAATGCTCCATCCACATACCTCTGAAAACAGATAATAGGGAAAACAAACTTTAAAAATGGTTGAAAAATTAATTTAATTTACAACTAATAAAATAAAAGACACACTCAGTAATTATTTCTCTAATTAGAACGTTAAAATATAAAGAAATGAATATAATCTTAAAAATATGTAACTAAAGATGTAATCTCGCAATAATCGAAGTAGAAAAGCTGTTTAATTTTCATGGAGCGGGTCGCCTCATGTTGAGGTCACATGATCAGCTGAACATTTATTACTTTTATCTCGGCAGCCCGTTTCCGCCATCCCCATTTGCTTATAGTTGTCAGTAATATCAAGATAATAAAGCCAGCAAAACATCAAAGCTAATAAGATATTAGTAAAAGCACATTCAGTTGAAAAACTGACCATTATATTGCAAATGTATCACAAAATACAGTCAAATGGCTGTGTTTGGCTACGTACTATTCCATGATAGCTTGGAGGTATCACACCACAGTACAGTGGATAAAAGCAGCTACAAATCAGAGCCTGCAGACAGGGAGCAAAGTGTAAATCATAAATCCTCATTAACACTTATCTATTTATCATGCAGGCAGCAAAATGTAGTTGAGTTCACCTGAATGAGGTCTTCTTTACTGTCAAACTCAGACACTAACACATTTGTCCCATCTGATGCTCGTGTGAGTGACACAAACAGCCGTCCGTTGGCAAGTAGGTGGGCGTCATCGGGCAGATCTCGATTTAGGAAGTTTCGTACTATCTTCAGCAGGTTGAAGGAGGGATGCACAGCACCCAGTGTGCCTTTCCGAGCCTCTCGAGACATTTCCAGCAAATTTTCACAGCATTTGGCTTCAAAATGGAATTTCCTTTAGGATCACCAATATTAATCAATATAATAGTCATCAAAATGAATTAAAGAGGGGGTTTTCTAGCTTTAATGAGTCTTCTGAACTATGCTTGGATTTAAATACTACTATTCACTATCATTTAATTGTTTGTGAAAGATTTGTCTTTTGGATCCATGACAAATGCCTTCCACACACACTTTTGTTTTTTTGTCGTTTACAACTTGTGTGAAGTTTATAAACTAGAAATAATTATTGAAACTTACATGGAGACATTTGGCATGCTAATATTGCACCCATGAGAGCACCAGATGAAGCCCCACAAATCCTCTTCACCCTCTTAAGAAGAAACTGGGCCCGTTCGAATAAACAGCAATAGACTCCACAGTAGTAAGCCATCAGAAATCCACAGCCGGCAAAAGAGATATTCCATTCTTTAGCAGATTCCTGCATTTTCTTCGACATATGAATCCCTGAGGTTATGCAGTGCAAGTGCGATACATTACAGTGAGTCCAAATGAAGGTCAGTCATTAGCATTGATAGCATCTGGCAACGTTCTACTATTGCGAAACAGAGTGTTGCAATCATGTGCTGGAAAAACAACATTGTGTGGTGAGGACATTGCTGTGATCATTGAGTGATTTTTTTTTGTCAAAACATTAGGGGTCTTGAAAGCATTGATTGTGTTTTGTACATTTCAAGTACATTTCATGTTTGTGAGCAAAACTCACTGCCATAATACCATTAAATACTGGTTATTCAAAATAATTTATAGCTTCTTGCATAATTTCTTCAGTAAAAAATATGCCTGTATATAATATTATTTATTTTTTCAGAAATTATTTGGAATTGAATTATATATAAAATATAAAAGCTATAATATATCATTTCAAATGTTTTTTAATTATAAATAATTATTAAATAATTACATCATTTATTATATTATAATCATATTCTCTTGCTGTATGAATAAAAACAACATGAATTAAGGATTAGAATAATCAGTTTATTTTTCATGAAAAAACTGACAGTGTAGCTAAAGCAGTGCAGCATGACACTCAAAACTAATATACAAAGGAATCTGCAATCATTTAAGGAAAATGCGCAGAAAATCATTGTATGAAATCCTTCCAGAGAGATTCTTGTCAAAAAAAGTGAAATGAAAGAATTCTTCCTCTGACAGATTCACGCTGTACTGTCTCAGAACATAAAGAAACCATGCAAAAGGTTGCATGATTAAATACAGGACATGAACTTAAAGTGTTGTTTAAGTAGAAAACAGTGACTTGTACCTTTCTGAAGTCCTGAAAAGAGATCTTTCCAGTGCACTATTTGTCAAAGGCAATTCATTTTTGCCTCATCTGACTCCAGAAGAGCTGGATAGGCCTGGAGATTCTCAGCATGGCTTCAATACACTGGCCACTAAGTGGGTTGGGACTCATCTGAAGGAGGAAGTCAGAAAATGCTGCATGAGTATATTCACAATTCATCAACTATACTGGCCTATTCAGAACAACAGCAGGCAGTAATTCCAGTGAACTCACTGGTGTCCTGGGGAGCTGCAGTTTGAGTCTGTGGGATGAAGTGTTGATCTGATGACCGAACATGAACATAAGAGACGTCCGCTGTTTTTGATGTCATATTTGACAGCCAGCTGCTCAAACTCAAGTGGACTCATTTCAGTTTGGAGACCCTGGAGTATCTCCGGAGAACATCAATTTAAATTCACCATTTCCAAACAACAATGTGACAATCATAAAATACAACATATGATGTAAGGAACTACAATTACTGCACAAAAAGCAGGAAAATGAGATGTTTACATTGTTACATTTATATTATGATTACTGTTCCACTTTTTGACCAATAAATATCCATGATTTTTTCCCATGATATTTCCTGTTGATATTTATATTATTTTATAATAATTATACAAATTATATTTTATGCATTTATATGTATATGAATATATATATATATAGAGAGAGAGATACTACACATTTATTTACTTAATTAAATTAAAATTATGATATATAAAATCATGATAATTCAGAGTGATTCGATAATAATTTATTATATTGTGATATTAAAATACATCAAAATGGCACTGTATTATATTATATTATACTTTTTAAAAATCATTATAGTTCAGACCTGTTTGCTAATAAATCATTCAGAAAAATAATAATAATTCAGAACAATAAAAAAAAAAAGAATTCCTTGAATTTCCCATGTTTTTTAAATTAATTTCATTTACTTTTCCAGGATTGGAAAATCCCCTAGTTTTTATGTGGTTGAAAGATGCTGTGACTGCTAAATAGAAAGATATTTGGCCTCAAAAATGTACTTAGGAACATATCCACATCTATCTCTCCGGTCCTCTCAGGGTCCGCCTGCCTGCATCTCCTCTGGATGTGCCTCCAACAGTCCTGGATCCTGGGATGCACCTTCATCTCCACATCCTCACAGTTCAGCAGTGGTGTGGACCTTCTGCTCGCCGTGGAGGGTCTCTGAAGCTGCTCTGAGACTGATGACTGTGGACAGCGATGGTGAGAAACAGAAGACATTAGAGACACTTGTAAAATCCAACAGAAAGAGAAGAAACAACCAATACTAGCAAATGAAGTAAATGTACCGCAGAGCATTTAAAGGCACAGGGTGCTGTTTTGGGGCGTCTGAGGGATGTTGGTCTTTCCAGTGTTGATCTTGGTAATGATTTAGCAACCTTTTCCAGGCCTTGCTGTTCTCCACTGAACTTTTTCAGGAATTCTCGATATTCCAGATTTCCAAAGCCATTAACTGGTAGCATTTTCCACAGGTTTTGAAACTAAAAGAGTTGGTTTATGTTTCAAGCTATATTGAAGGAACTATTAAAGAAGCTCATGTGGTACTGGAATTTACCTGTTCGTCGGTGAGCCTCATGAAGTGATGATCACAAATAATCTTAAATTCTGTTTTGGAGATTGTGTTTATACTGGCGTAGTCAAGGTCTACCATTTCCTTTGTTAGTGTACATGCGGGCCGACACAACCTCCTGTATCCGCCTCAAAATGTCACTGATGACTAAAGGTCGGGGCTGATTAGGAAAGCGCATCTTATGGATTTTCTTCAGCCATTCATCTGCTGTCTGTTAGAGTTAAATAAATAAATAGCGTTTTATCATATACCATATGCAACTAAGACCATTCTAAATTATGATACTCTGATATTGTGCAAAAAGTAAAAACTCAACCATAAAACATTTCTCATCATTTCTCATGTTCCTCATCCAGGACATCAGCAAGAGCAGTGAACTGCTCATCGGTCAGATGGAAGCTCTGCATAGATCTTCTCTACTGATAAACCCTGTTCTGTTCTGCAGAAAGTTATCATTATTATGAATAGCTGTGATCTGATATGCACAATTGACAACTTTTTATCATCACGTTTTTCTCCCTCTCAAACCTTACTTTATCAAAGTCCAGAAAGGCTTTTAGAAGAGACTGATTATCAAAAACATGTTGACGTAGTTTTAGTAGAATTGCTTCAGTACTGCATGTGTCTGGAGTTACTGGAACAGAATCTTTCCTGATTGAGACATAAAAAAATACATAAAAAAAGATAAAAAATAATTTTAGATGCACAGAATCCTTAAACATATTAAAACAGTGTGTCAAAATAATATTGATTTATAGGAGCCAAGCAATAACTTTATGGCCAACTTTCTGTACAGCTATGTCATCTTTGAACAATCCAAGAAATATTCTCCATTGCACAGGCTCTGTGCTGCTCACTCCAAATCTGTGACAATAAATCAACAGATGAATTTCAGAATTGCATTCAGGGAGGTACATAAACAATATGTTAATATCTCATACCTGTTCAATAACTCCCTGAAGATATTATCATCCATGGTGAAGAGGAAATTACTGAGGACAGATCTGAGATCCTCTTGAGAGACAAACCCACTGTCTGTTATGTCAAATGCCTGCAGAGCTTTTTCAACAAGGCTATGACTCTTCTTTATCTGTAAATCAAAATAGAAAACTGATTTTAATTAATTTGAGATAAAATAAAAAGATCTCTGTGATACTCACTTTGCTCAAAAATTTGGTCTGGACTTCAACCAAGTTGTCCCTGGATTTGCTTGAGAAAGCCCTTACGCTTGTCTTACTTTTAGGTCTTGTTGTAGCACGACTGACAGCATCCCAATTCAGTGCTAAAAGTAGTTGTAAATCAGAGTATATTTTAATCTGATTCAACTGTTTTAATTATTTATGTATTTTGGCGCCAAAATTAATAATAATTTTAATTAGTTTCATATAACTTTACCTAGTTGTATAGAACCTGGTGCAATTTTTCTATAGTTTTCACAGTCAACACCAAGCTTCTCAAGAATCTCAAGAATCTCAAGAATTATTCACACTCTAATGTGACCATAGTCTAAAAGAAAAGACATATATACAAAACACTTAGCTTTCTAGTAAAAACAGTAATACATCAGGAGAGTTCCTTTAAATGGAAAAACCGGGACCTGTGGAATTCCAGACTCATGGGAAAGCAGTATCCATCTAGGACTTTACGCAGCTCATGTTGCTGTATCTGCCCATCACTGTTGTAGTCAAACAACCGAAAAGCCCTAGAGATGTTTTTCAAATGGCCTCCAATCTGAAATGATGAAAACCATGAATATTACACACTAACATCAACAGGTAAATATGTATATAGAATTCATACCATGCTATACTCTACACCTTATCTTTCAGACTTGTAGTTCTCCAAGTGACAAGTTTCTGTGACTTCCACTCCTGCATGGGATTCTATTAAGAAATTCTATATTGTATAGATGAAGAAATATTATACACTGTTCAAAAGTTTGAGGTCAGTTAGATATATTTTTTAAAACAAATTAATACTTTTATTCAGCAAGGACACATTAAATTGCTGAAAAGTGACAGCAAAAAACATTTATAACGTTACAAAATATTTTAAATGTAAAAATCAGAGCTGACTAAATCAGAATATTAGAATGATTTCTGAAGGATCGTGTAACGCTGAAGATTGGAGTAATAGCTGCTGAAAATTCAGCTTTGCATCACAGAAAAAATTACATTTAAAATATAATGAAATAGAAAACAGTTATTTTAAATTGTAATATTTCACAATATTGTTAGTTTTACAGTATTGGTTTTGTTTCCCTTGTCATTTTTTAAATTATTATATAATTTATTATATTTATTATAATATATTATAATGTTAGTCTTCAATATACAAAGTTTTTTAACTTATTTTAAACCATTTGAAAGTTTTTATTAAAGGGGTCATATGATGTTGCTAAAAAGAACATTATTTTGTGTATTTGGTGTAATGAAATGTGTTTATGCGGTTTAAGGTTAAAAAAAACATTATTTTCCACATACTGTACATTATTGTTTCTCCTCTATGCCCCGCCTTTCTGAAACACGTAGATTTTTACAAAGCTCATCGGTCTGAAAAGCGAGGTGTGCTGTGATTGGCCAGCTATCCAGTACGTTGTGATTGGCCAAATACCTCAAGCGTGTGACGGAAATGTTACGCCCCTTACCATACTGTGATGCCCTGTGTCCCAGCGCAACAAGACAAAAACAATAAAACCCATTACAAACGAGGCATTTGTTGCATAATGGGGGGACATAATTACGGATTATAATGACTTAGGCCCCGATCACACAAAACGCGTTTTTTGCAGTGAGAGGCGCCTTTTTTAAATTGTTTTCGGTTGGCAGTGAGCGTTCTGTGCGCTGTTTATGCGCCCTGTGCGCCTCGCGTTTTTGCAGGAGCATTCTGAGCGCCTGAAGTTGAAAAAAAAAGCAACTCTGAGCAGAAAAAGCGTCCCATGTCATTTGTGTTTTTTTACATTGTCCAATCGAATGAACGGAGAGATGGGCCTTCCGTTGTGATGACAAAAGTTTACCGTTGCTTAGAAAGTCCGGAGACTGCTAAAATGAAAGGGAAACTTTTGGTGTCTGTCGCGGATTACCCGGAGCTGTACTTTTTAAGATTTCTGTTAATATGACAGTTTACTTAACAGCAAAAAACAAATATTTTAGAGCGATTAGACTGACAGGGCAGCTGATTTGGTGGTTGCCTAGCAACATAAAAAACGCAGCACACTGCTCTTTTTTAAAAGTCACCAAAAAAAGGCAGTTTTCAGACCTAAAAAACGCATTCGGTGTTACAACCCTAACCCTAACCTTATACTGTCTTTCTACGCGTTGCATTGCATCACGCCGCGTAAACATAAAACCATGCCTGCATTTGTGATCGGAGAAATGACAAACAACAAGTGCTACTCTACACTGTTCAAACCTCACGTTTGAATCATCAGTGGCAAATTCTTTAAATGTGAAAACGTACTTACAGTCTCTGAGTTAGAACAGCCGGCATTGTAGTCTTCTCTACCAGGATCAGGAAACAGTCCTCCATAAAATGCACTGCGCACATCTGAATATTTGGGTTGAATTGTTCTGGAACAGTGTTGTAAATACAACTTAACCACTGATTTCTAGTCGTGTCCTCTTTTGGCAAAAAAAGGCAGTTTTCAGACCTAAAAAATGCATTCGGTGTTACAACCCTAACCCTAACCTTATACTGTCTTTCTACGCGTTGCATTGCATCACGCCGCGTAAACATAAAACCATGTCTGCATTTGTGATCGGAGAAATGACAAACAACAAGTGCTACTCTACACTGTTCAAACCTCACGTTTGAATCATCAGTGGCAAATTCTTTAAATGTGAAAACGTACTTACAGTCTCTGAGTTAGAACAGCCGGCATTGTAGTCTTCTCTACCAGGATCAGGAAACAGTCCTCCATAAAATGCACTGCGCACATCTGAATATTTGGGTTGAATTGTTCTGGAACAGTGTTGTAAATACAACTTAACCACTGATTTCTAGTCGTGTCCTCTTTTGGAAGACCAAACAAAGTAACGTTAGCTTCACTTTCACAACGAAACACACGGCGAGCTTGAGTGAGCGGAGGCCAGCGGATTTCACGAAGGAGCGTCCGGCGGGCTTGAGGCAACCACATGTGACGACCCCCAAACAAAGTTTCGCTTTCACAACGAACACACACAGCGTATTCACGAAATGGCGGCAGCAACAATACTACAGCGAGAATAAAAGTTACACCTTCTTTCTTTGCGTGAACATTTGGGCGGCGTCATGCAAATCTTCCCACATCGTGACATAGATATGTGGGGGCGTGTTAGAACGAGCCGTTTTAGGTAGGCGTGGCTCTTAACTTTTATAAAGAATATCTCTTTGGATTTGAGACTTTAGTCTTTGCAACTTTACAGATATTTTTTATGCACCAAGAGCTTGTAACACTTCAAAGAGAAAGGAAAAATTTTAATCGCATCATATGACCCCTTTTATTAAGTTTTTAACGTTAGGGTCATAAGAGAACATATTTCCTTGGCATTTCAACCTGGCAATTTTTCATTCAGAAATTCTATTAGTAAAGTGTCGTAATACTAACCCAACTCTCCACAGTGGACCTCGGACGCATTCTTGTGTTAAATTCGTATCTACACTGTTGTTGTTCAAATTAAAAATTTGACCACAACACCAGCCAGTCAGGACGCTTAGCTGTTCCCATGGATATGGCCTGGCTGTCAATCAGGTGTTGGCTCCGCCTACTGGAATGCTTAACCAACCAGTAATCAAGTTGTACACTGAAAAAGCTAATAAACTCACAAAATATTTTTGAAAAACGACATTACCGATGGATAAAGAATGCAGATTCCCGTGGAACGTCAAAACTGCAATTTGTCCCCATATCTTTTAAGGAAAATAGTGACGAACATGACGTAGTTGTTCTGTCCTCCTCCGCCAATCATCATTGGCGAGGGGCGTGGTTACCAAGTATCATGGCGGCCACCGGGACATTTTGTGGCAGAGATAGACCGCGGATAGTGCTGTATTAAACTGAACTGTGTTTATTATCGTATTGCGGATATTTGAATGTAAAAAGTCTTTTAAACATGGGCACCGTGCATGCCAGGGTAAGCGCGTTTTTCCAGAGATGTCGGAAAAGCTAAAGCAATGACCTTTGAACAGAGTCTTTGAATGACAGGCCGAGTTCAGGATGACATTTAGTACTACACATTAATCCAGATTAACTGTCAGTAAGATAATAAATCAACTCTGCACATATAAACGCTCACTCTCACTT